TAAATAATACGTAATTAACTAAAATATAATACTAAGACCTAAATGCAATTTAATTGTCTCTCTAACTACAGTAAGAAAATACCATAAGTGTTCTAGTCAATCAAGCAAACAATACTGACAGAAGTTACCTGTACACTGTGAGGAAAACAGCACACTAATTTCAAATGAACCATTACTGGAGTATAGTGTAAACTGAGTTCTTTCCTACAACTATGTATACTTGTATCTACTACCTACATGTACATTGTAGATCTTGACGCAAAGTATAGAAAGTGGGTATGGAACCCATCAAGAACTGGAAAATTTACAGCTGTTTCCCAGACAAAGCAATTACAGACTTTGAATATCACATGACAATTAGGTAAAACACATAATTTATGTATACATAAAAACGTATGCTGCCAGCTTATATGGCTAACACTGAACCTCTGCTGAAGTCAATAATGCATGTTGTGTGACACAAAAACTAAAATTTAAGTATTTTTTGAAAGGAATTATAACTTAGACACCAAAAAATTTCAAATGATACCATACATTATAATATTAATTTCATTAAGATATATTGAAAATAAAGTGGTTTAATTAAATTTTGAGGTAATGCAATACAAATGGAGAAAGGAGTTCAAAAATGGCACTGGGGTCAATAGGGTTAAGGGAATCCATGTGGGCCTGATTTAGAGGAATCAATGATATTAAGAATGCCCACATCCCCAAAAGAGATAAAACCGTATGTGCAAGTGGAGAAAGAGATGACTGTATTAGAAGAACAGCCCCTTCCATGGTCTGAAAGCATAGAGGATACAGCTGGGCATGACTAAGGACTTGAAGCAAAAAGCACCCCAAATGGATGAAGTACTGTGTGGGAGTAAGAACAGACCTCTCAACTTGAATGAAAATCCAGCTGTTGCAGCTCCAGATAAAAGAGCTTGAGTGTGAAGTTCTGCCAAGTGGCGGGAAGGAGCGAGAAGAAGCTAATCATTCATATAATGATGAGGATGAATGCCCTATGAGTGAGGATGACATGAAAAGAATCTGACTATCCGGCAAAAGGCATATGGGGCAGATGCTAGGCCAAATGGTAGAATATGCATATAATAAACATGTCTATCATGCACAAAACAGAGATAATGACAAGAGGAGTCCACAATCTGAATATAAAGATTAGCATCAGTGACATCAAACTTAGTAATCCATAGACCAGGTGTGCAAAGGACCACCAAATAGAAAGAAATGACTTCATTGTAAACCGATGAGGCTGGAGGAAACGAGAAGGTTACCAATCTCCCTTCTTCTTTGGTACTACAAACAATCAGGAAAAAGGGAAAACCATCCAGTAAAAGACCAGGAAAGGAAAGAGGCCAGTGTCAAAAAGAGAAGATGGGCCACATCCACTCAATATTCCATGGAATCTGGAAAACCTGCAAAGATTGAATGTCTGAGAAAGGAGCTTCTCTGAAATCTCGATGGGTTGAAGAAGAAAGTCGAACTCCCACAAGTAAGGCATCTCTTTTCTCCAAAAGATCCAAGCAACAAACCAACAAAGGGACAAAGAAGAGAGCAGAAGCTGATAACCTTACCAAAGTAGAAGTAAATAAATGGCTAAGATCCTCTGTAAACAGTTAGGTTAAGAAAAACAGCAGTATCAATCCTAGAACCCCATATGGAAAGAAGACGATCTAGCCTCTGAGAATCTAAATATGGATTCTCCAAACAATAAAAAGCCAAGGCATATTGATTAGATAAACAAGGAGAACAAGGTATGGCTGCTCCCTCTCTCTCAATCAATCAGCAAATCTCCAAGCATGCACAGCA